CAGGCCATGTGGGGAACATAGCGCTAGCCGGCAGGAGACTCCCACACCACATGTGCCTATGGCAGAGGTTGCAGGCCGGTGTCTAGATAGCTGCCCAGAGACTGGTTGTGTTAGAGTCTCTCTAGACACCTCCCTCACAGGCGTGGCCGAAGAATTGAGGGAGAGGAGGCCCGCCTGGGCCAAGATGAAGAAGGAGAATAAAGGGCAGCTGATTTTATTAGATGCCGAGATTTTTAGAAGTAGAGTAGGGGCCCTAGTAGACTCAGGGGCCACCCGCAGCTATATTAGTAAGAAAGCGCTGCAAAAGTCCAGAAACTGACAGACCCCATAGTTAGTATCCTCGCGGACAATCGTACAATGGTTGTAGAGGAGTATGTAGAGGGAATCCAGGCATATTTTCGCCTAGAGAAGGATGGGAAAGTGGARAAGGTCCTCCACTCCCTGACTCTCCTCGTGGAAGACAACCTCCCATTTGATATTGTCCTGGGAATGGATTGGGGAGAGGCAGCCGGGGCCACGCTCCATCTGAAAGAGCACGAGTGTAGGCTCCCTATTTCGTCAGGCGAGGCTAAGACTGCCCGCCTGTTCCATGTGTCCGGGGTAGAGAATTCATTGGCACATTGCTGCCTCGGTGCTCCTGCGTTCGCTAGATTAGTGAAGAAGGAGCACTTAGAGGAACAGGTCTTTGTTGCCTATGTTAGGTCAGTCACTGAGCCTAAGGAAGAGAAGCCCGTAGACCCTGCTATTGCCGAATTGCTGGAAGAGTTTACGGATTTGACTGAGCCGCCGACAGGCACGGTGTCGCGGCCCATCCAGCACCGTATTGAGATAGAGCCTGGCAGTAGAACTCCTAAGGGTGCGGTGTACAGGATGTCCCCGCGGGAGTTAGAGGAGCTTCGCAAGCAGTTAGGCGAGCTCCTCGAGAAGGGTTGGATTAGGCCCAGTTCGTCTCCTTTCGGAGCGCCTGTCCTCTTTGTTCCTAAGAAAGAGGGAGAGCTGAGAATGTGCATAGACTATAGGGGTCTGAATGCTATTACGGTAAAGAATGTCGAGCCACTACCTAGGATAGACGATCTCTTAGATCGAGTGCAGGGGGCGAAGTATTTTTCCAAGATAGATTTGAAGTCCGGGTATCATCAGATAGAGGTGCATCCTGATGATCAKTATAAGACAGCCTTCCGGACTAGATATGGGCACTACGAGTTTATAGTGATGCCCTTTGGACTAACCAATGCGCCAGCTACGTTCCAGCGCTGCATGAACGATTTGTTTAGGCCGTGGTTAGACAGATTTGTTGTAGTTTACTTAGATGACATCTTAGTGTTTAGCCGAACCCTTGAAGAGCATCAGGGTCATCTCAGGCAGGTCTTGGAGAAGCTGAGGGAAGCTAACTTCAAGATCAATGCAAAGAAGTGCGATTGGGCGAAGACGCAAGTTTTGTACCTAGGCCACGTCTTAGACGGAGACGGCGTTAAGCCAGAGGATAGCAAGATCGCAGCGATTAGAGATTGGCCCACGCCACGTACGCTGACAGAGTTGCGCTCGTTCCTGGGCTTAGCTAATTACTACCGGAAGTTCGTGAGGAACTTCTCCACTATCGTTGCGCCCCTTCGCAGATTACTCAGGAAGGAGACCATACCATCTGGAAGTGGGACAAGGACTGCACGTCTGCCATGAAAAAGTTGAAGCAGGCATTGATAGAGCACCCGGTCCTTAAGGTAGCCGACCCGTCCTTGCCTTTTGTCGTCACTACGGATGCTAGCCAGTACACCATAGGCGCGGTGTTGCAGCAAGACGATGGCAATGGGTATAGACCCGTAGAGTTCATGTCTGCCAGGATGCCTTCAGAGAAGGTCTCAACATCTACCTATGAGAGGGAACTCTACGCTCTCAGGCAAGCGTTAGACCACTAGAAGCACTACTTGCTTGGGAGGCTCTTCAAAGTCTATTCTGACCATGAAACGTTACGATGGTTAAAGACGCAGGCCAAGATGACACCTAAGCTTACTAGGTGGGCCGTAGAGATAGATTTGTACGACTTCGAGCTCAAGCCTGTCAAAGGGAAGTACAAAGTAGTCTCGGATGCTCTGAGTAGAAGGGCGGATTACTTTGGGGCGATAGTGCATTATCTTGATATAGGGAAGGACCTGCAGCAGAGGGTTAAAGAAGCGTACGCGCAGGATCCTATCTATAGTGACCTCCTTAAGAAAGTCAAAGAGGCCCCAGAGACTGAGCCGAACTACCGCACTACTRAAGGGTTACTATTTGAGAAGACYARTGTCTTTGAYCGGTTGTGCATTCCCAATAGCGAAGAGATCCGTAGTCTGATCTTGGGAGAATGCCACGACACAGAGGGTCATTTTGGTTGGCAGAAGACTTTAGCCAACCTAATGCGTGCATATACCTGGCCAGGGATGAAGAATGACTGCGTAGAGTATGTTCGCAGTTGTAAGGTTTGCCAGCGTAACAAGAGTTCTACGCGCGCCCCGTTAGGTCTTCTCAAACCCGTGCCCATTCCGGACCAGCCGGGGGACTCAGTGTCCATCGACTTCATGGACACTCAAGTCAAGAGCAGGCATGGCAAGAGCCAAGTCATGGTCATAGTTGACCGATTTAGTAAATACGCAGTTTTTGTTCCTTTGCCTTCAGAGGCACGTACTGATTTAGTCATACAGAGATTCTTTGACTGTTGGGTTAGTGAGAATAGAATCCTGTTGTCAATAGTTAGCGATAGAGATAGTCGCTTCACGAGCCAGAACTGGCAAGAACTCATGGGAGTATATGGGTCTAAGTTATTGATGTCGTCCGACCGTCATCCAAAGACTAACGGTTAGACAGAGCAAATGAACAAGATCCTACAGCAAGTTCTGCGCATGTATATTAGGCCGGATCAGATTAACTGGGATGAGATGTTGCCCAAAGTAGCTACTGCGTACAATAACAGCGTGCATTTGTCTACATGCCGCACTCCCAACGAACTGCACAAGTCCTTTCGACCACGCAGACCGTTTGAGGGGCTCAACCGGGATCAGATTCATAGATTGCCGCCCGGGACCAGGGAGGTTGCTGTACAGCACGAGAAAGAACTAGCTACTGTTGTCGAGAACCTCAGGAAAGCCCAGCATAAGATGATAGAGCAAGCGAACAAACACCGTCGCCCTTCACAGTTTCAGGTAGGCGACTTAGTCTGGGTTAGTTCTAGAGAATTTGCACCTGAGGAGAACATCTCGCAGAAGTTACTGCCCACATATAGAGGGCCGTGGCCTGTTCTGGAAGTCAAGGGCGGCGAAGATGGACCGTCCTACACAATAGAGTTACCAGCACACCTCCACACTTACCCAGTTTTCCACGCATCGAAGTTACTACCTTGTCAGACAAGTCATCAGTTTCCAGCCCGTAGATCTATGATTCCACCCGATATGGATGGAAAGTATGACATCGATGGCATGGTGGCTGAAGACGTATTCAGAACTGGAGGTAGGGGTCGTCCACAGAAACAGTATAAGGTTCATTTTAGCTATCAAGAACCGGAAGACGACCGCTGGTTTACACGATCTGAACTTCTCGAAACAGCTCCCGATATAGTCCGAGCCTACGAGAGACAGCAGAGGGGTAAAGGTCCTGCCTTGGACTGAAATTTTCTCGGAGGACCTCGAATTTAGGCCGGCGGGAGTGAAACGGTATTCACCAGTTCGCAGTAGCGAATGCAGATCCCAGGGCTCGATCCCTAGTTCCCTGTCTTACCTGTGTATAGTATCAGTGTCAACCCGTAGACTTGAACCTGCAACCTGTAGGACCGCCAGTGGTAGGCAGGTTTTCGTAGGTCACAGCTTAGAAGGGAATCGAACTGTATACTTGTAGGGTAGGAGTCTAGACAGTTCCGAAGTCGTAGCTGTAGGATGTCTGAAGGGTCAAGGTCGTAGCTGCTACTTACCTGAAAGGGCAAAGTTGTAGCTGCTACAGTACCGAAAGGCCAAGTAGAGGTTTCTAGAACTGGCCTTTCGGAGTCAGCCCCTGTTTAGGCCGAGGCAAGTGGGCAAGTGGTATAGGTCCACTACGCAGAGTCAGCAGTCCCAGGTAGCCCAGTCCGGTCCAGTCAAGCAAGTACCGTCTGGGACTGTGCACATCGTGGGCCAAGGGATACAGGGCAGACCAACGCAGCACAGAAGTATAAATCAAGAGGCTGCGTCCAGCCATTCATTCATTCCTGCGGATGCCATGCGGAAGCGCTGCCTCAGCAGCTTGTGCGAGGAGGTCTGCAGTGTGCCCGAAGACGAAGTGGGCAGAGAGGTGTAGTGTAGCGATAGGGTAGTGGCAGCTAGCGCTGCCATAGCTGTAGCATAGTGTGTGTGTGTGTTGCKTATGGMGACTGAGTGTTGCGTGTGGGACATCCAGGGTGATCCAGAGTGCGAACAGTGAGTTGTGTGGGCGCGCAGTCGCCATAGCCAGTAGGAAGAGAACTCTTATCTGGGCACGATATCTTTGAGTACTGTGTGGGCGCGTGTCGCCAGTTTGCTGTATCACTGTTTGCATGCATGACGAAGTGTGAATAAGCCGAGTCTGATTGCAAGGCAACGTGGGGGGTTAAAAATAGAAAATGCAGCATGGAGGATAGTCCTTCGCAAGAAGGGTTGTCCTTTTCATTTTGGACATTGTTGATGTAGATGAGCAATTTCCAGGAAGCGGCGCTGTGGTCCCTGACCAACCCTCACCAAAAAAAATTATCCTATTAGTCAATGTAGTCCCCTCTGGTGGAACAAATAAGAAAAGTAGTAGAAAGACAAAAACGAGAAAAGAAAGACGGAGTAGAGAGAAACATTCATTTATACCAAATAAAAGTTATTGTTGCAATGTGCTGTCTGATAATGCAGAAACCATTCTTAGACTACTGTTGGATGCTTGCGATAACCTGGGGCGCTAGGCGGTAGCAGCAGTGGACCATCTACCACCCCTACCAATTGATTGTCAGCCATCAAGATATGGATTTGCACAGTTGACATACAATTGGTGTGCGCTGCTACCGCCTTCAACCGAATAGAACCGCCTAATTACGGCCGTATGTGGAGTGGAAGTTGCGCAAGTACAGCTGTAATGACCGGGCGTTCTGTTCGGGTGAAGACGGTAGGGGGCTGACGGCCCTGGCCTCAAGAGACAGAAAAGTCAGAGAGAGACCCCATCATCCTCGCCATTCCTCCTCATTATTATTATTATTATTATTAATTTATTATAATATTATCATTATTAATTTCGATGTCAGTCAGGTGGCACAAAAGCTTCCTAGTAGTGCCTACCCTTTCTCTTTTTTTTCTACCATCTTCTTTTCCCTCCACGTGGAGGAGAGGGTGGCAGTAAGATGGCCTTTTCAGGTGTTCAATTTTGTGGAAGACCTTCTTAGCCCCTGCATGCGGGGAAACAAACTCTTCTTGATTTATGTTTGTTAACTTTGTTTAAATCTCTTTTCTAAGTTTTCTTTCTTTTTCAGTTCTGCTGCTTCGGTTTGAACTCCCTTTTGGGGGTGGCTTCCCCCTCACATCGGTGCACTTCCACCTTTTCTCTCCCACCAACTCACCCTCACCCAGGCGCATGTCATTGACCTGCACCACTTCAGCAAAACAAGCACCCGTCTTTGTGCCGTGTTGGCCGGACTCGCTCTGAGCAGCGTGGGTTGGTGGCCTTCACTGCATGCTCCCTTTTGAGCCGAGGAAACTCGTCGTACACAAAGGTAAGATCTTTTGTGCAATGTTTGCATTCAAGGTACTCACTTTGAGCAGCATGGGTTGGTGGCCGGGCAATGACATGCGCCTGGGTGAGGGTCACTTGGTGGGAGAGAAAAGGTCGAAGTGCACCACTTCACCAAAACAAGCACCCGTCTTTGTGCCGTGTTGGCCAGACTCGCTCTGAGCAGCGTGGGTTGGTGGCCTTCGCTGCATGCTCCCTTTTGAGCCGAGGAAACGAGTCGTACACAAAGGTACGATCTTTTGTGCAATGTTTGCATTCAAGGTACTCGCTCTGAGCAGCATGGGTTGGTGGCCTTCGCTGCATGCTCCCTTTTGAGCCGAGGAAACACGCCGTACACAAAGGTCATATCTTTTGTGCAATGTTCGCATTCAAGATATCAAAAGGCTACATGCATACAATGTGAAACAGTGCACAATCTTAACTTTGGTATCAAAAGGCTTATGCTCCCTTTTGGTATCAAAAGGCTGCATGGTCCGTTTTGCCCAGAAGCGACATAAATTGATACCTTGAACGGAAACAGCACGCAAAAGATCTTACCTTTGGACCTTTGGCGCACTGCAGGGAAAAGTGGTGCACAGTGCTTGCGGACATCTGTTAAGCTTGGAGCGATACAGAGAGAGAAGGTTAGCATGGATCTTGGGCATGGATGACACGCATAAATTTAGCAGTGGTCTGAAAAAAAAAAAAAAAGGCGGCACACCTTGTCCTGTGGAGAAGCAGCACACTTACTTGCCTTGGGCAGAAGCCAACTCCAAGGTGCCTTGCTGTGCTGCAGCACACTGTCTTGTCTTGAGCAGCAGCAGCACAATCATGCCATGGGAATAGGCAGCACACTAAGGGACCTTGTGGCACTGCAACACACCAGCAGAACAGAACCACTTGCGTTTGTTAAGTTAGCACACAGTTCTTTTTTACAAAACGGTTCCCAACTTCCCAGATTGTTTTTTTGTTTTTTTGTTTTTTTGTTTTTTGTTT